TATATATATATAATTTAGAGCAATGGGAAATGAAGCTTCGCATCATTTCCCATTGCTCTAAAACCTAAAACTAATTTTCGCTACGACGAATTAGGACGAACGTTCGCCAATAATAAAAACATCCTGCTTTTTCCTGAAATTGACAGCCTATATTACTTACAGTTTTCCTGCGGCCTCTGAAAAGTCTGAAGATTTTCATAACACAAAGCCGAAGATCCCTACAACCTTTAAAATAAAAGGGCTCGATAATTGCTCCGAAACCCATTTTTAATACGACTGGATTTTTTTACACAGAAATTAGCGGCCGCTTTAAAAAGGGGAGAATTAACGTCATCCGGATAAACTCTAATGGTTGGCTCTTTTTTGCACCGTGTTACGTTAATGTTTTGCGTTTTTGGAACATTAGGTTTGCTACCATGTTAAAATTTAACTCTACTAGATTACTAGCGTATCTGACCGAGATTTTACACCTTTTAATATTACTCGCTACTATTACGCAATATTTGTCAAAGTAATGTGTTGCAAATGATTAGTAAATGGTTTAGGTCTCGCATTGAAGCTGTTATCGTTGTCAATAGTAGTTATGAGAAATAAACATGATCGTTAGAAAGGACAATTTTAGTACATAGTTCATTGCTGTTTAGATGCAATCTTGTAATAAACTAATAAAAAGAAGAAGTTCGAACGAACCCTGACAGTTTAACCCGGCTATAATGACGCTATTTGTTCCTGTGTAGTTTTATTCAGGCAATAAAACGTATCAGCCTCACCGTGATAGTTCAGTTCGAACAAATCCACGCGCCTTCCTTCTCACCTTCAAGGAGTGCCTTGAAGCTGAGCATTTAAATAAGCAAAAAAGCTGACAGACATTCATTGAGAAAGATATCTACCGCTCTGAATTACCGAGTTAATAACCGCTGTTATTTTATCTTTTGTCATTGGTGTCTTATCCTTTTTGCCGCTTTCTTCTTTACCTGCTTATCATCTAGCATTGGTTTCCCACAAGTGATAGCAGCCGGCAGACAAACAACAGCTGCGACAGTGTGCCACTCGTGTTTTATCATACGTTGTTTTTATGTATGTCAACGACCCATCGAAGACATTTTATTAGCATATGGAGTCCATATCGCATTATGTAAAAAACAATATATGCCCATATACTCTATATATGTACGTTGCACTTCGTTGTCGGTGTATATATATATATATATGTGTGTATGTATGTATGTATGTATGTATACAGTGATAGAGTTAGTTAGAACCATGTGGAAAATGTTACATTATGCTGCTATACATTTGTGTGATAAAGCACCAGCAAGTGTTACGGTGCTGCTTAGTAAGAAGAATTATTATTGTTATCATTCTCGTCGTTAAACGATTGTTGTCGCTTGTTCGATGTCTTCGTTCACAAGAAGGAAGATCTGTCGCTGTCGGGCCTGTCTGCCGGCCCACCGACAGACAGACAAGATGGCTAGTAAACTTCACCAGCGCTGCTTCAGTCGATTATGTCGGTTATCCGTTGTTGGCTATTGGTGCTTTTGTTAGCCAGCTGTAAAATCAACTTGTTTGTGGAGGAGGGCTAGCTGGTAGCTAGGGAGTCCATCAGATGTCACCGGAACCGGAAGTTCTCATTCGACAAGGAGAAAGCCAACGACTTCGACCATGACTACGAAAAGACCACTACGATAAGCCTAAAGTGTAGATATATACATAAATTTCTAATAATATATTAAATCAATGCAGATCACGCAATCGGTCCTGTTGCTACCTATACTATTATAGTTATTTCTCCCGCTGTGACTGTGACTATCGCTACAACCGTTGCTGATACCGTCGTCATTTTTCGTTATCACCCAATTGACTAACTATACGCAAGTGATGATTGCGTCTGTCACTCGTAATCTGTTTTTTTCTCAGAGGTGAATGTTATTTAAAACAGCCATTTGTTATGGTTTAGTATTTTTTTTTTTGCAAAATGTTTATTAGAAAAGTGATTTATTTAAATTCGCACTCTGAGATAAACTCGGGCTCTAATAAAATTCATTTATTTAAACTTTACCCGCCAATTATTCTCAGCGAATAAATGATTATGTTTATAAAAGATACTAACTTTTATCAACAAATAATATTACAAGTAATAATTGGTAAGATTGTTAAACTGTATTCGTAGTTTTTTAAATTAAAGAGTATCGGTGCTGGTCCCCCTATCTATGTAGTGTTTTAAACGTTCGGTTATAGTTACCGGTTTTTATAGATAGTTGCCAATGATTGCTTCCAAATCAGTGTTCTAGGTAGCTTAGGTCAGTGTTCCCTATCCTTAACACATGCATTCATCATTTTTTTGCAATATGTTCCGGTAGCGAAAAACCTATTTAATAACAGAAAATTTACCTCCGCTAGATTCGTCCTTTGACTAATAATGGCTGCCCTGTGCCATGACCGGCACGACCTATGATATACTCAGAAATGATTCTACTTTTATACTCAGGCAATAAATATAATAAGTAATAGAAACACAAGGAACAACGGCCTAAAGGCCGTCTATCCAAATGAGCACATAAATAAAACTAGAAACCGTGTAAACCTAAGTATTATATATAATTCCTATCGTTTATTCTAGGGCGTAGTGTTTTGAATCCCCACGACCTCTTCTTCTGAAGCTATACGATATAGCCCTATCGAAATCCGGCGCAGTAAAAACCTCAGCAAAAGGCAACTGAGCGAAGTGCTTTAATCGATGTGGAGGGTTCGCTAAGAATATTCCTTCTAAAGTTTTTCATAGCATAGTCTCTTACACATCATTGTATCTGATGAGCCCTGATGGGGTAAAGAGAGCAGTTCGATTTACCTTTAGGTCGAAGCTACAACACATAGAAGAATCATTTTAATAATTAGTCGTTGAAAATTTTGCGATCAGCTTTTGCAGAACTAATCGTTTGTTCGTTTTAATTTCTGTTTTTTTTTTCAAAAATACGTACTGTTTTCTGCAAAAAAAAATATAATTTCGGAACGTCGCTCCATTTGCTTAAAGAGACCACCTAGAGTAGAGAAAGAAAAATCTCTATATATTGTGTGTGTGTGTGTTACAAGGTCACAGAATAAGTGGGCGATTCATTCACAACATCACAATTAAGTTTCGTTCCTATTTTATGATGAGCGTCATCGCCAGCGTTACTGTCATTACCATCAGTTACCGTTATCATATGAAAGCCATTATTTGCTGAATTCGCT